AACTTTTAAATAGTTGATTTGATATTAACATTGATATATTTTTCTTTAAATTTTTATGATATCTTCAAATTTATATTTTATTCAAAAATAAAATTATTAATGCTTTCTTAAAAACATATAAAATCGTATTATAACGACAGAGACAAATAATAAAATAGAACATTAAAATCGAGATGTGTCTCGCTGCATTGCACGAGTACTCTTCTAGTTTATATATACAACAAATGCAACAAATAAGCTCACACCCCCCCCCCCTTACCTTTGGTGAGGTTTGAATCACTGACCTCTTCGTTTTAAGAGATTTTCAGTTTCATTTGAAACTCGAAGCGATGTTATTCTTCGTTTAGCTGTAAGAGATTTTGATGCATATTCTTTAAGTTGTGATCATACTTATGTTGTTGACGATGATTCGTAAAACGTGCACTTTCTTGAGAGAATTGGGGGTGTTACTAGTCCACTTTGAAATTTCTCAATTATACAACGTTATGGTTGTCATTGGTTTGTCATCAATCATACTCTATATGTTTTTATTTATTAAAAAAATAAAAAAAAATCCAATAAGCATATAAAAACTCGATATACCACGTTAGTGCTGCTTTTCATACGTCATCATATGTTAAAAACAAATGATCTGTAAAAACTGGTATTCTGTGAGATCTTAAAATAAAGAGTTTGAGCATTAACTTCATATTTGTAAATTTAAAAATACAACAAGTGTTTATTAAATAAATATAAAATATTGTGCATATCATACTTACAGTGGAATTTCAAAACCACCGAGATTATTTTATGTACCAGTCTCTTTCAATTGATCAGGTTTATTATTAAAAAAATGCATTATATCCAAATAATTGTTATTAAAGTTTGGTAAATACATGACAAGTGGCCATTAACACCATTTAAAATGTTTAAGATTCTAATAATAACTAAATAAAAATAATTTTACCCAAAAATAGGATACCACCTTGCAGTTAATGTTAATGGTATGCGTGTCGTTTTTTTAGGGGGAGCAAAGGCGGGTACCCGCCCTTTTTGACAGGAACTGGAACCGGAACCGGAACCGGCTGTTCTTGAGATATTGGAACCGGAACCGGGACCGGTTAGAGCGGTTCTTGAATTTTTGGAACCGGAACCGGAACCGCCGGGAACCGGTTCCGGGTACCCGCTTCCTAAAATATTAAAATTTTGTTATTTAGAAATAAAAAATAAAACATTGCCAAAACACTAAATTAAATAAACAAGAATACAAATTATACGGAATAATGGTTACAAATATTGTTTAATGATTATAAACCATAATAGACTAATAGAAAATGTTCAAAGTTTAACGATTACATACTATAATTGTAAATGTTCAAAACTTAAC